TTATTATCTAAAAGCCGAGAATTTTCACAAGCAATCGATGAACTAAGCCCGGATACAAAAATTCAATTAAATGAAATCAACAAACACCCTTTTTTTCCTGACCGCTTAAGAATCTAGAAGATTTATTGTTCAATTTTGGTAGGTAGCTATTTTATTTCAAGTTTATGGCCGACATTCGCAGCATTAGCCTTATTACACCATAAAATCACTCCTAGAGGGATTTTTGTTCTTTTGTTCAGAATAATTAACAGTTCATGACTTTTTCTTACACAAACCAAGCAGTAAACTGGACCACAATGAGAACGATATACAGGATAAACGAATGAAAACGTATCAACTCCATTGGGTGTTTTCCTACCATTTAATTTATTTTTTACACGAGTGTGGAAGAGAATGGAGAAAACGATTCAAAAGAAGATAATCTCAGTTTGTTGGTTGATTCTGACGATTGATTTTGTTCCTACTTTCATCTTTTAGACTCCAGAAGGAAGAATTTATCTGTTTAGTTCAGTCAAAATATTAGCCTTCCTAGTCTGGCTAATGCTAATATTTCGATAATACATACATAGATATATAATGTAGTACACTACACATAAAATCAATATAGAAAAACATATTCTCATATCCTAGTTACTGATAAACCATCTTTTCTTTAGAATGTGACAATATAAGTCATTTTGTATGTCTTATGTCGAAAAAATTAGGGTGATATAGAAATGATATGACGTGAGGGCATTTAAACCATATTACCTGTTACTTCCAGCTGTTGTGTGTAAATACAGCGTGACTCACGGTCGATGGTAGGTTAGACGTTTCTGGAAAACACAAAGCATGATTTTTCTGAAAATTTCACCTCTCACTTTTCCTTACCTGTTCTATCAGAATACAGAAAACATTCAGGTCGAATTTTTCTAGAAACCCCATTTCTTTTGTAACATGAGGATTATGACCAGGAATATGATCCGAATTTCAAGGACGACTGTAACCGATTTTTTTGAAAATTTGCATTTAGAGGAATATAGGAATTAGTGGTTAAAAACTGGACGGAGCGCCAGCTTATTCCACCCAGGAAGTTTCCAGGAAACTTGACGAACTCTTCGACGATCGTTGGTTTAAGTGTTTAGGGCCGTAATGGTATTGAAGATATTATTATTCAAATAACGAGACATAATGACATAAATAGTCACTATAATTAAAATAGAAGTAGTATCAAGCAAATTTATTTTGAAAATCATTTACCATTCACATTCAATGATACGTTTTTGAATATCATATATTGAGAATTTACTGATTATATGAACCCTGGGAATGATCAAGAGTTTGCTGAATATCGCTTTTGTTTAGCCGAATGAATCGAGAAGTTTAGTATTGAACATAATAAATGTTTTTATTGATTTACTGAATTTATTCAGATTGGAAATATTTTTCATGCTGACTGGCGAAAGATGGATAAGAAATATATCTCTGTGTGTAACTTTTATTAAATGCTGGTAGGTTTATGGATGAATTAGTGACGAATCTTGTTTGATTTCTCTGTTTGTTGAATGAAGTACACCCAAGTTGAACATTACTAGATATAGCATTGCCTCTTTTTCAGTAACAGCGTTTCCTTTGCAGTTATTCGGCAGAGTTCAGTTTAAGTTTTTTGAATAGTATTTTCAAGATTGCGTTTCGGGATATTTGAAAGTTATTGAGAAAACTGTTGAAAGAATCATCCCAGGCAACAATACAATATCTTCAGATTCTGCTAGGGACTAATATTTGGTGATGAAATTTTATACTTCAAGATATTTCTTAATTCATAAAACTTTGTAGTTGAAAGTTTGAGCAGTTGTTCATCATAGTTTATGTGGTCATCACATCTTATATGATGATCCACAATAATAACTCTCAGATACTTAATTATATTTGTTTTTTCAATAACAGTACATTCGCAGTTTGTTTTATTAAGCACATTCTCTTTCATGGATGTGGATTTTGTTATTTCACAGTCGATAAAAAAAGATTGTGATCAAGTCATATCTGGATATCTCTCAGACACTTTACTGATTTTTCAAATACATATTCCAACCTGTAAATATCGTGCTGTATCGTCCGCATATGATATGAGATGACCCCAAAAATTGCTAATGGAACAGATACTATTGATGTGAACAAGAAATAATATGGGACCTTTAACTGTCCTCTGTGGTACTCCCGTTTAAACTTTCATTGCCTCACTCAGGTTATTATCAACTTTGACCTTTTGTGACCTATGTGATAGATATTCTCCCAGAATATTGTGTTGGGTCACGTATACCATATTTATGTAATTTTTTCAATAATATGCCGTGATCCACGGTGTAAATGCCTTAGCTAGGACTCGAAATATAGCTAATCATTTTCCTGATCTATACAAGGCTCCAATTACTTTTTGAACAAAACCTAGCACCGCTTTTTCGGTATTAGAGTTACTAATGAAACCAAACTGTCTCTCTGTTATTATTTTTCCAACATTCAGGTAATTCATAAGTGTCCTTTTTAGGGACTGTTCCAAGATTTCAGCAAAATTATCAATAACAGATATTGGTCTAAATCTCCCAATGTCATCACGCTTACCTATACCTTACCTATATGGGGTTGATGATTGACTCTTTGGATTGGTGAGAGATGACCTAAAGATTCTCCAATTTTATTAATGTTTTATTGACCTATTTGGCTCCACGAAATTCCGGGCAACGCTCATAAATTTTACAACGAAAATTTTATACGTGGTATAAATATGTGGATTATTAAAATGACTGAATGAAAATACAGGAGGCGTTAGATGATTATGAGCCATGTAATTTCAGCAAAACCATCACAACGTAACTTTTGGCGAACCTCACGGATTTATAATAAAGATCTAAAGGCTGAAGTAAGTTTTGACATCATGATTTTGAGTGAGGAACAATTCACAATTCATCTGGCCATCCATAAATGTTTCCTGATGACCTCAGCATTGTTTTCTGAAATATCAGTTTTCCAGAAAGAAAACCGCATGCATACATTCTGGCACATTTACAAAACTTCAGAATAACCAATTTCTGAAATTGTCTAATGAATATAAAGTGATATATCGATCAAATTTTCACGGCTTATATTCGTATCGACACTTATCAAATAATTGACGATGAAAAAACTTTCAAAATCATCGGAATACTAGATTTCAATTTCGGAAAACCTTTTGAAAATATAGTAAGCTTCAAGGATCCTATATAATCTGTATCTGTAGAGTGTGTATGTGAGGGTGAGTGTACATCCTCCCGAGGAGTTGTTCTCCTAGGTCATCGTCCATCCTGTTTTTTCCAGGAAGATGGGCAGGTCACTAGGAGACATCTCCTTTATATCAGCAGGTATAGGCCAAGACTCGCCGATCACAGACCCTCTTATTGACAATAACTCCGGACACTCGCATAATATGCCTGACAGTTTTATCTTCTTGTTCACATATCCTGCATACAGCTGTGTCCACTAGTCCCATAATTTGGAGGTGTTTTCTTAGTTGGCAGTGGTCAGTCAGAAATCCTACTGTTAAGCATAGGTTTTTCCTGGTCATCGCCAGATATTTCTTCGGCACCAGCTTCCCAGAGTTGCCCAGGGTGATCCTGGCAGGACTGCACCCTTTGATTCCATTCCATCTCTTTAGGATTGAGCATGTATGTGACGTTTGGCTAATTCCGCAATTATCGAAGTCATCAGGCCATAATTGTCACTGGGTACTGAAATTTTTTGTCCAGCCGCCTCCTTGGCTAAAGAGTCGGCCATGCGATTACCTTTACGCCTGTCGTGACCTTTAACCCACCTTAGGATAATTTTATTTTCTACCAAGGCTTTGGCTAAATCTTGGTGGCACTCTAGTACTAGGTCAGAGGTAACACGTTATCTGTTCAAGGCAAATAGGGCTTGTCTACTATCAGTGCAGATTGTTTTGTTTTTGCCAGAACATCCTGGCCTTATTATTTATTTTGTGGCGATTGAGATACCAGCCAGTTCTGTTTGAACCACGCTGATATTTTTTACCTTTCCCCACTCAATCCTTAGGCTCCTTCTTTGGTTTTTGAGCCATCTGTATATATGCGTATTGTATTTGTAGCATCTGACTCTGTGTTCTGTTTTATTTGTATTCCGTGGGGTTTATCAAACACAAACCTGGTTTCAATTGCATAGGCTCAGCCTCAATTGACCCATTCCTACTTCGAGGTTTACACCAGCCATGCGCAATCGTAACATGGCTGTTAACGCAACCTCCTTAACGTACAGCTCCAGAGGTGTCAGACCAATCCTATATAATTAAAAGAATGTAATCCAAAACAAAATATCTTTCTTGGTTTTTTGAATTTCATGGACTGTAGAGCAGTTTCCATCAGAATTTTAATAACCTTTCAGTGTCACAGGTAATTATTTGACAAGAACCACAGGTCACCTCAATTACTCCTGTTTTATTGTTTTTAATAAATTTGTCCAAATTATTATTTGTCTGGTGAGGCCAAGTTTGTGCTTTTCAAAATACAGGCGATGTTATTGGTGGATTCACTAAAGGATGTCTATATCACATAACGTTTAGTACTGTTTGATATCTACCTTTTATTCACTGTTAAAAGTGATTTGTCGGATGAAATTCAATTCACTTTGAACATTACTTTCTGACAGAGGAACATTTAATAGTCTGTGAATGCTGCTTCATGTTGATGAGGATGTGTCAAGGTATTGCATATGACAATGTCCGTATAAGGTGGTTCATGGAGAATTACGTTTTTTTTTAATTTCAGTAATGCCTGAATAGTCATGCCTGAAAAATTAATTGAATAATCTTTCTCCATTTCAGTAGTGAATTTTAATAATGAGTGAATGGAATTAACAAATTCGACAAACTACCTGTTCCACTAAAACAAACTAAAATCAATTATTCATACTCTCCTGTGAAAAAAATTAGGATGTTTCTTTCCATGAAAAACAGGGGTTCAAGGTAAAACAAGAAATGAAAAAATAAAAAAGTTGTATTTCAAAAATACTTGTATAAAAATGCTCGAAACATGAGCCTACAGATGTGTGGAAAAAATATTTACAAAAGATAGAGAGAGAAAATAAGAAACGTATTAGGCGTAAGTGATACCAGGTTTAGAGTACCTAGTTTGACTTGGTAGTGAATAGTATTGGGGTAATTCAGAAGCTGCTGCTGCTGCGGACTTTGTATAGTATAATTTTTGTGCAGGTTCGGGAGACTCATACACTGGTGTAACTTCAGGAACTTGTGCAGGTTGCTGAGCTTGATGAGCCTGAGAAGGTTGATAAGAGTAGTATTGCGAAGGAGAAGGGGCGAAAGCAATTTGTTGACTAGCGGCTTTCGATTGGTAAACCGCGGGGGTAGGTGCTTTGGCATATTCCTCCCTCTGAGCCACTACGTTCTGCTGATAGTTTATTTCTTGTGGCTCCGCAGCAGCAACTGAACTGGCTGGAGCATATTTGGTAGCATCCCGAGCGATTTGCTGATACAGTTCTTCATAATTTGGAGCTCCAGAATATTCTTTGGGGGAAGATGTGTACTGAACTCTTTGTGGTGATGAATACTGTACTCTTGGGGCTGGAGAATACTGGACATTCGGTGCCGAAACATATTGCGTTTTTGGTAATGACACATATTGGGTTTTTGGTGACGAGACGTACTGTGTTTTTGGTGCTGAAGAGTACTGAGTTTTTGGTACTGAAGAATACTGTGACGGGGAGTATTGCACTTTAGGAGAGCTAGCGGTGTTGTACGGAATTGGTCTGTCTTGCGAAGAAGCTGCCTTTCCAGAAACTTGTTGAAGTAATCCGAGGTTACTGTATGCCACTACAGGACTTGAATAACTGAAGCTCGATACCTCAGCTGCTGATGAGTATTGAACCGGTTGGTGTTGTTGAGGTTGGGTATCGTAAGTAATCTGAAAAAAAAATCATGAATAAAGATTTCGTTCAGGATTGGTTGAAAGACACTTTTCTGAACTATGTTAAACTTATATCAATTAGAATAATGAGCCCAGAAATGAATCGTATAAACTAGAATGATTATTCATCGATTCTTAAGTGGATATGCTTCATTGTTTCTTTTTATATTCAAAAATCGAAAACAGTTCAAAATTAGTAAGCGCCGGAATCATCATACTTATCATTTAATGACATTTCAGATGTAGGTATAGTTGAAATAGAAATTTCTCATTACAAAACGAACATCAACTCATTAGCAATCAACCGAAGTCGATATTTTGATACAGTTAAACAATGAAAAAGTCGACATTTGTGAAAGAGTGGAAATATCTCCTTATAAGAGAATGTGAGATGAAACCACTCCCAATTGGAATTAATTACATTCCAATTTGGTCGGTCGGTAGCCGGGCGGTTCGACGTGAGTGCTTTGTTCACTCGGACAATCGGCCGATGTGTGAATCGATGGTTCAAGCCGCAGGCTGAATACTCGATGTTCACTTGCTATCGTCCAACACGCTTTAGAAATCACACGTTAAAATGTAAAACCTCGTTAGTCCTCAGCTCGCACAAGTTTCGACTTCTGAGGGTTGTCGTTCGTAGGGGTGCGACGGCTGGTTAACGAAAAAAACGTATTTCAAACGTACAAACATATTTCAATTATCGATAATTGATTCATTCTCAGAAAAATCTCTTCACGGTTAAACGCTTAATATTCGTCAAATAATGTGAAAATGGTGCAGTATGAAGTATTTTGGGAAGTTTCTGTACAGGATTACCATTGATTTCATTGAATATAGTTATTATACGACCTATGAGACTTCCAAAAACAATTGAACAATAATTAGTATCTCTATTATAGTCTTTTTGAGTAATTTCGAAAAATTTAGTTAGTTAAGAGCACCATCCATATAGTTCTCGCAATGAAAAGATGAAATACATATAAATTGAAGATTGGAATTCAATAAAAATTTGAACCTCACTTCATACAAATATATATTACATCTATCACTATTGATAGGGGAATTTAGGTAGATAATAATAACATTAGCAGAAATAGATATTGAATTTGGCATAAGCTATTTGGTGGTACAAACTAGAATGTCTAATAACCCTAGAGGTTGATAATAAACATAAATAAACATGTTCAGAAAAGGATATAAGTATATAATTCTACAAGTATTGTAGGACGATCCTTGCGAGCTAATGGTCAATGAATTGGAAATCTTTCGATATATCCCCCTGTATTCTGTTATCTATTAAATGTCAGGAAAATATATTTTCACAATCGTATATTGAAATGAACGATTTAAAAATAAATGCCACCCCTTCTTGGTACCGTAAACTCTAGAGATTATGTTCATGTATTCTCATCGAATCGAATAAAAATATTCCTAGCCAGCTCAATTTTCATGGAAACAACATTTTGTGTCAGAAGAATGGATTCTGTTGACAAGATTCTCAGGTAATATTTCCGCAAAGTGAATATATCTAAATTTCATTCAATTTGCTGATCCTCAATTCTCACATAATTTAACTATTAGTGCAAAATAATTTTTCAGTGTTTTTTTTTCTCTTATTACAGATTGATTACAATCTTGCTCTTCATTCAGGTTCACTGATATTGAGCGATTCCATGTGTTCACAATGAAAAACGGTCATTTTTCATACATTTGCTTGCCTTAGTCATGAACAAAAATGGTTTCTGATTATTTCAAAATAGTCGATAATATGCATGAAGTCAGAAATATACCAGGAACATGTACCTGTAACCATATACAGGGTGTTGATTGAGGTAATTAGGTAATTTCAAGACGAAATGTTCATATGAAAATGGGTCTGCAAATCCTTCGTTCTCAAGATACAGGGTGTTAAAATAAAAATAAAAAAAGTTATTAGTAAATATTTCAAATATCCTTTACCTAATTTTATTGTAATCTGACCATGGTATTTATAACATTAAGTAGCTGATTTAGCCCGAACGTGATTCAATTTATTAAGTTCAATGGCGTCTTGAGCGGCATTTAAACGAATATTTTTCATTAAAAAATGTACGCCACTGACTTTTGTGCAATAATTATTATNAATTCCCCATATTATTCCTTTTGAGGTCCAGGGATATGCAATTAGGTCGACTTTTTTTCTTTAAAACTGAAAAAATTCAGGAGACAAAAAAGTTGTATTTCTAATTGCTCAACACAAAGATATAATGAAAAGTGCACTAAAGTCAGTGGCGTAGATTTCTCAGTCACAAATATTCATTGAAACGCTCGAGACGCCACTGGATTCGATAAATTGAATCGCGTTCGGGCTAAATTAGCTCCTTAATGTTATAAATATCATTGCCAAATAACAACAAAATTAATTGAAGGATATTTGAGATATTTACGAATAACTTTTTTTTATTTTAACACCCTGTATCTTGAGAACGAAGGATTTGCGGACCCATGTTTACATAAACATTTTGTCTTGGAATTACCTAAAGAATTGTCTGTTGAGGTGTGGCATAGAAAAAATTGCAATATTCGTTTTTGAAAAAAAATGGAAATCAATAAAATTTCGTGGGGCAACAAGCATACATGTGAAATCCTTTAATTCAGGAGACTGAATCGAAGAATGTTACATATATATGGAAAAATGAATATTTCAAAATAGTAATCTTGATACATTCATCCCTACCAACGTATCCATACAGGAGGTTCTAGTGAACGCATACCGGAAAAGAACTATTCTCCTGGCTAATACCATTAACTCTTTAGCCTCGAATATTCTTAGAAATGGATGAAGTGAGATTTGTTATGGAATCGGCCAAAACTGGATATGAATTCTTCAGGTATTCAATCAACACATCAAAATGAGATTTTCACCAAATAGTTCACAAATCCACAACACGTATTCCAATATACGATAGTTCCTCCATGAGTGTTCATACTAACTGAATCAGTGTATGAATTGACAATATAAATGATATGACAATCAATACTAAATGAAAGTCATTTTCTGTGAAGAAAAATCAGTCATTATCGACCTTGTTTAGTTATTTCCACCGTCCACAATCTGAGAAATATGACAATTGCAAAGAAAAACTTCACACACGGATATTTATGGCAAAATTTTCAGTACATCATGATGAGTTACTGCGTGAATTCGAAGTTATTTCACGAATAAAAATGTTCTATTAATCAGTAGTTCGTCATATTCAAGTCAAGCCGTTTTTTTATTGTGGGAGGTTGAAATGCCCAAAGAGGTCGACTGAATTACACAGTTGAACATTAGAGAAGAAATTTTACAAACACATTCGAATATCTGAGTTTGAGTATCAACCGATTAGTCATTCAAACATTAGAAAATATATTCAAAAATGGAGATTTATTCGATTTATTCAGTTCTATTCTTCAATCAATCGATTTCCAAGCATTCGAAAAGATTGAGATTTCACATTTGAGAAATAACTAATGGTATCTTCATCTCTTGGTAAAAAGTTCTTCTCGTTAATGTGAAGTTTTTGGCATGAACTACAAGTCAACTCATATACTAACGATTCATCTGACATTAAAATTTCGCCTTTATTTTGTTCAATGAAATTGCTTGAATTCTTATCGTTTTTTGAAGTTAGGTAGACCTGGTTTATGTCTTGCTGTCCTAAGATGGGTAGATAATATCTAAGTTTATTGACAGTCATTGACAGGTAAGAAACATAGAATGAAAAGTAATATCAAAGAAAAAAAATGACCAAAATTATTTTGATTTTTTTTTAAACGTTAAAAAATTGAGAGAGACGTATAAATCGAATGACAAACCAAATTTGAATGAAGATTATTATTTCAGCTGATGCGAGGAAGTCTTTGCCTTTAGTTTTTCAGAATTCTCTCTATGTTAAAATTCAAAGAAGTATATTTTTGGTCGGGATCACATCCCGACATGAGTAGGTTCAATATCATTAGTTCGAGCTTTCATTGTCTAAGTGAAGAATAAAGTAATACAAATCATGATATTATGAATCAACAACAAAAATTAATCTGAAGATCTTGATCTGCCAATGTCTTCTCTTTCATAAAATAAAACGAAGGAGGACTCCAGAGGCTTCAATAAACTCAAAACATCGTCGGAATACTTAGTAACACGACTATAGTCAGACTCAAACCAGTCCGTTTCATCTATGACCAATACGTAATAATGACCATATTCAACACCAAAACCACAGTGAACAATGACTGCATGAAGATTATAATAGTGATCTGCTGGATTAATGTGTTCATCTATTTCAAACCTCCGTCTAATCTAATAATGTATATTTGTTGGTTGGTTGGTTGGTTGGTTGGTTGGTTGGTTGGTTGGTTGGTTGGTTGGTGAGTGATAAACTTCTACATCGCCAACCGATCGTGATGAAACTTGACATGTATAGGTATTTCTTCATAGAGAAGGTATTAAGGCTAAAAATTTTTCTGTAACTTGTCACTAGATGGCGCTGTAGAACAATTTTTTGAAAGCACTGTTTTATAACGTTGCGCACGCCTATGTTCGTTGATTCTGATTTTGTCAAAACATTGGAACAGCAGCGATACAGCAACATAGTACTAATTAGTACTACAACTGCCAAATTCTACGCGGGCGAAGCTGCGGGCAACAACTAGTATTATATAAAACGATTTGAAATCCCTGAAAAAACCAATACAAATGAAAAAATTGAAAAGAATAACTGAAAATAACAATTATATTAAGCAAGAAAACCTGAAATTAAATTGCAGTGAAATAAAATACAAGTAAAAAATAGAACATTTCAACAAAAATTTAAAAAAATAAACAAATAATAAAAGGAAAATAAAAAAACAACATAACATCGAGTGGTCCTAAGCTGAGATCATACACTGGGAGGAAATTCAAAGAAGACGCATACAGCCAAACTAACATAGAAATACGCAACATATGGAAACCCACAATCTAGCGAAAAATGGCCAAC